GTAAACATAATGGATCATTTAATACTCGATCACAAACATCTCGTTCAATACTTTCAATTTCAAGTTTTGTTGCACGCCAAAGTGCTTCCATAGATTTCGCAGCTGTATCAGCTTCAAGTTTACGTTTTTCTTCTTCAGTTAATTGTAGAGGTTGTTGTGTCGCTGGCGATTTACCATGACGATTATGTTTAACTGGAGAAGATGTTGCTGTATTTGTATTTGATGGTGGTGGTGATGCCGATGCTGATGCTGTTGCTGATGCTGATGCTGATGCTGTTGATTCTGATGGTACATATCCTTCATAATCTAAATGTCCTGAATGATGTTGAAATGGATATTGAGAATCTTTTCCTTCTTCAGAATTTGCTGCTGCTTCTTCATCAGCTATTTGTGCTAATTTTGACATTGATTGTCCCCATTCAACAGCACATTTAACTGTTTTAACTGTTTCTCTAACAACATGTACACGTTCTTTCCATGATGATTGTACATGCTTACCAAATCCTAACATACGTTTACCAATATGACCTTCTTGTGAATCTAATTTATTTAACCATAATTTTGCTTTTGATGCATATATATAACCAATAGCATGTAATAAATGTTCACCATATGGTGCACTAAGTAAATTTGGAATGTCTAAACGTGTTATTTCAATAAAATTATTTAATGCTTGATAATATTGTGTTTCAGTATTATTTGTTGGAATTGATTCAGTAAAAACAGATAATTTATATGTAAGATTTATTGATAATTGTTTAATACGTTCTTCACGTGCTTGTGAACGTTCCTCAGCATATGCCAAACGTTTACGCATTTTTTCTTCTTTTTGTTCACGTGTTTCTTCTGTACCTTTATTTTCAGCATCTTTGATTATTTCAGAAATAGCATGTTTAAATGACTTAGCTAATTCAAAATCACCAATTATTTTTATAAATTGTTCACCACCAAACATTAAACGAAAGAATTCTTCAGCATCAAAATCTTCTAATGATATACCATCTGAACCATTGGCTATAAGACGTTCATCTTTACCATATCTAAAATATAAAATATTTTATAGAACTTATGGATATTTTCGAAGAAAATCATAGTAAGTGGAAGTTTAAATCGAGGTTTTTATCATTCTTCTCCAAGCTCTAGCAACTTAGGTTGGAATGCCATAGATTATTGGATAGGTTTCTATAGCAACGAGACAAAACGTGTAACTAATAACAGTACTTATGTTACTCTATAGTTATGACAGATGCTAGTCAGAGACAATCATAGACTGTACAGTGTTATTCACTTATTTTTGCTACTGTTGTTTAGTTGACTGTACTTCTGCAAAATTTCAAAGTTTTTTATTTTCAAATGGTTGAATAGAGCATTAATTTCTCTATTGAAAATTCATTTTTCCTAAAAAAAAATATTAGATCTAGCCACATTAAGATATGAGCGTGCAAACGCTTTGTCTTTAAAGAGTTTTCAAAATTTATTAAAATTAAACAGTTCAATAGAATAATCAATACTCTCCTCTATCTAACAATATATTTATGAAGTTTTACAGAAATACAATTAATTGAAGAAAACTAATCAAAATAAATCAATTATTCTGTGCATTAATAACGTCTCGTTCTAATGCATTGTACTTCCTTATTACATTTCTGAAGGATTAAGATAAAAGAATGACGAAGAAATGCGTGCCAAAATAGATAGAATAAATTAATCGCTCTGTAAGTAGTAACTGCAGTTACATCGTGCGCCACATTTTAATTCTATAGGGATTGAGACAATAGTTTTTTATTATAATGTATGATGATAAAGCTCTTTTATACATTATGACTCTCAAAAAGAGTAATTACTATAATGATAGACACTTAAATACTGTTCTGACATGACAAATTAACTGCTCCAAAAAAAAAAGTACAAAATTGTTAAACGAAATGTTCTAATTATATTTTAACAAGTAGTCAACTTTCGAAACATTGAAATGAACATAATGGATAATATTCTACGAAGTCAATTGCATATATTAATTATAACATATATCAAGAAATTATTTGTCGTTAATCTATCGAAGGAAAGTTTGCTATCTTTCGAACAATATTGAACTCATTATGATAGAACTAAATTTAAATAAGTTTTACAAGAGTAAAGAACGAACGGATTCATTATCAATAACAAAACACAATTGACAAAGTTTTGCAACCATTTATTAGGATTATTAAAGAATGATTCTTATCAGGGAATGGTTTTAACGAATCACTCGTATTTGAATTTGGACTCCTATGCATAAGGTAGAGTTCAGTGAGATATGAAAAAAAATCCAAAAGATAAGTTCCTTTAGATCTTGGGCCAGAGGTTATATACATTATACTAGAATTTCAACCTCTGACCAGGTTTATAACCAATAAATCAAATGACAGTATTTCGATCTGAGACTTTGCGCAAAGATAGATTCTAAAAATTTCAGCTCAACAGAATACTTCCTTTCCGAGATATTAAAGTCCCAAAAAACAGAAAATTCTACCATCTTTCATGGACGATGAGTGAGTGATTTTGGCGATTTTAATATCTCGAAAAAGTAACATTCTTTTGAGCTGAAATTTTCAGTACATTCTACTGATAAATAAATCTGTCCGTGGTCACTATTTCAGATCGAAATACTATCATTCAATTTTTGGTATATACTATGCTGGAGACTAATACTCTATTGAAATGTTCCTAAGTCTACACAAAAAGTCGTAAGCGAACTTTTTCTTGGAAGCTTTTTCGTATGTTATTGAATTCAAAAGCAAATTGGATGTAATCGCATTGTTTGTTTATTTTGTATTATGCATAATTGAAAATACGTATACAGGGTGTTTCATAAGTCTTGCAGCACGATAAAATTAGTTCCTATGCGCAGACAGAGAATAACCCCTAATCGAATGTTTTTATATTAGCTTGGAATACATGTGTCAATCTTTCAAATGACATATCTTCTCTGGTAATAATAATAATAAAAATATAAACATGAGAATGTGAGGAAAACTTTTTTGTCATCGATCAATAAGATATTTTATTAAAAAAATGAATATCTTAGATTAATCTGTTTATACAAAAACTCATTTAACTATCATGGATATGTTGTCGATCACTTTTTTTTCATTATTTCTTCAATCTAGATTTTAGTTATTTAAAGCTTGAAAATCGTTTTCCTCGTACTTCACTTGCAGTAATTCATTAATAATTTAAAAAATAACCTTCATTCTTTGCTGTTCGTTCTACACCTGACATTTTCACATAGTGTAATAATCTCAATTGGGTTACTGAGTACATAGCTTATCTGAATATTTAACTAGTAGATCGTGCTAAGTATCAAATAAATGAATAGGATAAATAATTATTTGTTTATACTACATTATTCTTTGATGTAAAAATATTCAGTACTTTATTAAAAAAAACCATATTGACTGCTTACGAAAAATTTATTTTTATGTTTATATTTTTTTATTGCTACAGAAGAAAATGTCATTTTGAAAGATTAGCATGAGTAGTCAAAGCTCATATAAAAACATTCGAATAGGGATTATTCTATTTTTATATAAACTAATTTTGTCACGCCTCAAGACTTATGCAACATGTTGTATTTATAGTAAATCTAGCTGTCAGCTATTAGTTTTGTATTTCTATATTAGATTTGGAATTGATAGAAGTTTTCTTTTGAACCGGTCCATTTAACATATCAATTAAACAATTAGTTCTATTGAAAAATAAAATTATTATTATAATTCTATTAAGACATACTGTGTATTAGTTATATAATTCTTGGAATTTCTATTTTAGTCTATCATGTTTCATATACACTAATACCAAGAAACTAAAACATTTCTCAATTTCTATCATACCACTATTACCCATAGAAAAATAAAACGAAATGCATCAATGACAGTTTTCCATTTTCAAAAGAACAACTGAACATAAACTTGAATATGTATGTCATAGGTAATTTTAAACTTAAACAGAAATTATTTTTCAATTAGACGCAAAACTATGAAATTATTTTATTTTATTAAAGAATAAATTCTAATTTTTGTTATCATTAAGGAAGCAACATAGCACACGCCTGTTTTACTTTTTACTAGATAAAGAATTCATTTCTATTTATTCATATTGTGAATTTATGTATAAATGACTTCTTGTACATCGATATTAGAAAATGATTTTCGAGTATTAAATCCTCAAAAGAAGATAATTGTTATTCTATCACACATTCATTTTTCTTTTCAGTTAGAAAATAAATACAAAAAGTATAAACATAAAGATGTTTTTTTTTTTCTGTTGGTCAGAACTTGCTAACACAAACTAAATTTCAATTAAATTTAAACATAATTTATTACAATTATATACGATCAATTCATTATTCTCATCTTCTTCTATTCAAAAATAATTCTAATATTTAAATCATTGACTTGAAAATTCTATTAGAATTATTTTGTTTGATTTTATTTTTATTTTCACATACCTATTATAAAGTTTTCTTTTTTCTGGATCACTAAGAATACCTATGAAAGAAAAAACAAAGAATCATTAATATTATAGAATAAATCTGATATTTTATATCTTACTATAAGCTTGTGAAATAAGTTTAAATCGTTCAGCATATTCACGTCGTGTTATTTCATTCAGACTTTGTGTTCGATCAGGATGATATTGTAATGAAAGTGAATAATAAGCTTTTTTTATTTCTGATGCTGTTGCTGTTGGTGATACATTAAGTATATTATAATAAGTTTTATCTAATGGTGCTTCATCTGTACCAGTTTTTCCAAGAAAACCAGATCGAACACCACCACCAAATGAAGACTTCTTTTTATCATCATTATCACCGGATGTACCAGATGCCATTATTTAATTTAGAAAAACAAAAAAGAAAAACACAAACAAACAAAATTATCTAAAAATTAAAAAAGAAAATTAAAATAAAATATTCATTCGATTGAAATCTATGTCATTCATGAAAAATAAAAACGAAATTAAATTTTTTCCAATTGTTCTACAATTGTATTAATCTTTGTTTTATCACATTCTATTTGTTCATTGTAATGAATTAATTGACGAAGAAAACCAGTATTTGGTTGTACAATAGGACGATGCGAACGAATTTCATTTACAGCTTGTTCAATTGACATTGAATGATGTTTTATTAAATATGCACAACATAATGTTGTGGAACGAGATACTCCACATGCACAATGAACAAGTACACAACCATTTGATTGTCGAGCTTCGTCAATAAATTGACAAGCTTGTTCGAAATATGGTGCCATATTAAATGATATAGTATCTTGAGCTTTTATAAAAAGATGTTTGACATTAGAAGAAATATAATCTTTTTTTGGTCGAATCCAAATAACTGATAGGATATGAGTTATATTTAGACGAATGAGACGATTCTTACGATTAAAAATGATTAATGAATGCAAAGAAAATAACAAATAAACTAAAAAAAGAAAGACAATGAATAAAACTTACTTTATCTTGTAATGATTTAAGACCGCCTAAATAAAGAAATTTATCGAAAACAAGTGTTGGTTCATGATATGTTATTTTCCGTTGTATTCTATTATTTAAAAGATGAATACGTATATGATTGAGACGTTTCTCGAATGGATTGATAGTCCTTCCGATTGATACCGTAGTAGTTTGTGTTTTTTTTGCTAATAATAATGGAGAAGATGTTGAATTTTTTTTTCTTTCGATCGTTGATATATGAGTATGTGATACTGTTGCCATACTTATTAATAACAGGAAATTTCGTAAAAAATGATGTGTATCTCTTCTCTCATATGAATCGATAAGTCATTCAGTAATGAATGATTGATGACTCAAGGTCGACATTTTGTTGACTCATTAGAGACATATACGAATGGCGAAGTTTATAAGAAATCTCTTTTGTTACCAATAGATGTCTATATTAGTCGATGTTATACTGTAGGCATTGAGATGAACATCAAATAAAAAATTGAGTGTATACTTTTTAATGACATAAAAATCTTTGTTTCTATTAATTTACTTTAATAGAAAAACACAGAAAAAGCTTCATTGAAAATTGACGTTAGTAAGAATTAAGAACTCTTTTTTTTAATCTGAATAAAAAACTATAAGGAGAAAATTATATATATATTCTGCAACTGCATTTTTCACTCTATTGAAAAAAAGTCATTCTTCTTGAACATCAAGTTCAACAAAGTTTACACAGAATGTTCCTTCGCTGATAATATCTATATAGCGTTACCGCTAATGTTTCAGAACTGAGTAAAATATTTTCTAAATAAAGCTCATTTTTTTTTTATATATAGAAATAGTTTTATTAAAAATTAACTGCATATCACACAGTGATTTTTCAATAAAAAATAAGAAATTTTGGAATATGATTTTTTCAAATTATATTGACATTTGAGAAATGAAAAAGGAATATTGACAGTTGTGCTTTCGAATGAAGGAAGTTCTCCATGAGCTACGAATTCTCTGAAAAGAGTTCGTGTTCTTAGCTTATCACTGTAAAGATACTGCAGCTTTACGATATTTTTTAAATCAATGCCATGATAATTGAAAAAATTGATTTTCGAATTTGCGCTTGAAACTTTCCCTAGAAACAGATCTTACCAACTTTCTATGGTCAATGGAAAGGTGACTACTATGTGTTAAGAACTAAAATTATTTTATTTCAAAACTAAAAAAAAACAAAAGCAAATACAAGAAAAAAAACAACAACAACAACTGTTTTTGACTTCTAAAAAAAAAACAACAAAACGGCACTGTCCTATCGTCTCTGTATGGTTGGCATATTATGAAATTTTGACGTTGTATATTCATCAGGAAATGTACATGTTACTTGTGATTGTTTTCTTGTTATCGATTGATTTGGTGGTAAATAAATTTGTTCATTATGTTCTTCTACTTCTACATCTTCTCCTTCTTGTTGAATATTATTATTTTTCAATTGAGAAACATTATGTGTTAAAGATTTTAATTGTTGATAGATAAAACGAAGATCACTTGTTTGTTCATAATCAAAATTATATCGATAACCGGATCGTTTAGGTGGTACTGGTGGTTGTCTCATTATTGGACGATCATATAATAAAATAGATGAATGTTGTTCATTGTTAAAGGATTTTTCATTTATTGAATTTGTTGTTAAAACAACAGCTGCAGCTGTTGTTGAAGAAATAAGACCTTTACTATTTGTTGCAACTAATAATGCATGTTTACGTAAAAATTTTAAATATTCATTACGAATTAAAGTATAAAAAAGATGCCATTTAAATCGAGCTAAATGAACTTTTGTATGCATAATACTATCATAAATTAGCTTATTGCTTTTTGAATGTTGACTTATATGACGTTTACGTTCAATATCATGCCAAATAATATCACAAAAAGTTACTAAAAAAAAATAAATAAAAATAAAGTCTTATCATCAATGTTCGAACAAGTTTAGTACAGTCGAATCTACAGAGAGAATAATCATGACTAAAGATATGTACAATTAATTTTAGTCGCGGTAGCAAAAATATAATAGTTCATTGAACATATATGTTATAAGTTCTATCAATCATAGAAAAATTCACGAGATATGAATAAATTCTTAAATAGTTCTCTCTATTTTTCTATGGTCCGGACGAACAGTAGCACAAAAAAAAAAACATAATCGCCAGATGTTCTATAGTGGGAAATATCAATTAGTTGCAATCTTTTCTATAAGAAGAAGTCAATTAGATTTCAGATCAAATTAGCAAAACAACTGTTTGAACAGATCTTATTGTGATATGATCTTATCTGTTTCAATGAGTGTCGGACTGTATTATTGACCAAGGTTCAATATATTGATTCTATGAGTAAAAAATGGAAGAAAACAAAATTGTTTTATTATTAAATAACAACAAATATTTAATCAAGCGAATAATAGAGAAATCAGTTGCAATTATAAAAAATGTTGTCAGACAGAAATCTAATAAAATTAATTTCCCACAAGGACATTTCTGTTAACTTCTCGAAGCAAAACAAGAATGATCAAATGTTTAGAGTTGGATCTTATTTTAACATTGGTTTTGTTCAAAATATCGATTTATTTACGTCACTTATTACAAACAAAATAATTACAGATACTGAATCTATGCAAAAAAAAAACGAGGTCATTTGTGTTGTGCAACATCTAATCTGTTAATTAAAATACAGGATGTACGGCTATTTTAGTGACTGTGATTGTGATCACCGTAAGTCACTACGATCACGCCGGGCATTACATTCCAATAGCTCAATTTCGAGAACTGAATTGGTCGACTTCTGTTTTTGAGTGATAAATACAAAAAAAGAAAACAGCAGACATCAAGTACTATTAATCTATTATTTCCCATGTTGTATAAGCACTATATATACTACTACACTTAGTGAATACCCATGTGACTGTGAGTATGAATCAGTCTTCTCTTCAATTCTGACGACCTCGAAACACACTACAATAGTTACAAAAATTCTTGCTATCAGTTAAAAACTATCTAAACTTTAATTCTTTAGTTTTATCGTCTTACCATAAACAAAACATGTTGAACTCTGATCGCAAGAATTTGATCGGTCTTCATACGAGGATATCTCAACATAGAAAACAAATCTCACGGTACTAGATGTCCTCATTCGATAGCTCAGTGTTAGCTCTATTACCAATAAAAACTCGATGTCAAATAGTTTTAGTTTGCTTGATTTATGAATTTTTGAGTAATTCTTACATGCAAGTAGACGGAAATCATCATATCTCCAGCTAATTTTAATCATTTCCTTTAAAATTTGCTCCAGTGAGTGTCATGCTTAAGTCAATTTTTTTTTTCTGGAAAATTTCATAATTGTATCTATCGATGGAGAAGACATTCATGTTGAGAGAATTTAAGACAATTAGGATTTCCTTGTACCTTACGATTACAGTGGATTAAAGTGCTCTATTTATAACAAAATATATAGTCATGAAAATCTTTATTTATTAATAAGTAAACGGACGTTAACGCATTTACATAGTACAAAATCAGAAAAGCATTTTTTTGAAGTCCTAAAAAAAAAATTAGTGTTTACGTCATAATTTCCTTGCATTAAGATTTATCGATCTGCAATTGCTGGTTGAAATCAAAATTTACTAAGATCTATTAAAAGGATTAGAGTTTATGTACTTTTTACTCCGTTGTAGAACTTCTTGTAACTACTATAACTATACTTAAATAAGTTCTGATAGTTGTTTTTTATAGTTTGCAAAAAAAAAAAAAAAAGAAGTATTTTGATAAAGATTGAATTGATCTTGGCTCATCGAATTCTATTCTTCTTTATTTCTTCTATTTAAATTGTGTGTTGTAAGACATAATACAATCCTATTAATTTATAAAAGAAACAAAAAAGAACTTTTTACCCAAAATTGGATGTCCATGAATAATTTCCATATGAATAAATGTAACATATGTTGCATAACCTTGATCTAATCTTTCTAAATTTCTTCCCATAAATGAATAATCTAATCTTCCCATAAATAAAAGTGATGCTAAAAGTGATTTTGATACACGTATAACACATGATAATATGCCAAGAAAACAATCGAAAAAAAAATTAAAATAATTAAATATAAAATAAATTCGACGATTATTTAATGATGGTGTACGACCAAAATTTTGTAAAAAAACAAATTCAGATAATAATGACATTAATATATGTTTTAATAAATAAATTAATATTATTGGTAAACATAATGCTAATATATGTTGAAACCATCTTGAATCATAACGTATCCATAAACGAAATAAAAAACAAATAATAAATGATATTTTATAAAATATTATAAAACCCCATGCTGTATAACCACATAAATAACCAGAAAAATGTAAACATTTTGATATTAATTCATTATTTGAAAAATTATGACGTGGAGGTATATCAATATATTTTCCAGCATATGCTGATATTAAATGTTGTTGAATTTTATTTAAACCATTAAATATTTGTGTACAATAAATAATTACAGATAGTATTGAACAAATAAATAAATCATTTATAAATGTTGTACCTAATTCAATATCCCAATTTAATTGATTAAGTATTAAAAAATGTATACGATCAAGTTGATTTTTTATTGAATATATACCATAGAATGTTAATAAACATGTTAAATTATAAATAACAATTAATACAACTGTATATGTACATAATATTTGAATTGAATATGTAAAATAACGATGGCAACGATAAATTTTTGCAAATGAACGTGTTATGACATTATTATAATACATATCGGATGAATGTTTACTTTTTAATAAACCTATTAAAAGATTTGAACTATTTTTTTTTACAAAAATAATATGAGCTAATGCTAATTTAAGTTTATTTTGGAATTTTCGAATAAAAGTTCTGGTTTTCAGCCGGGCGAACAAGTCGAAAATTCAGTACACAGAGTTCTGCGGAACGGGACAATATAGAAAAACAAAAATCTATATCCGCAACTTTTTTAATCTTGAAATCAAAGCCCGAGTAGACATTTTGTCGTGCTAATTAAGAGAGTGAAAGGATATAAGTCGGCTAATGTACTTGCTACAGTCACCCGCCTTTCAATCAACGAGACATACAGAATTTGGTGCACGAAAAATTTGTCCCGACAGGACTATAACTTCAAGGGTATGTCAAAGCTATCTTATTCTTTGGTTTTCCGGCACCTTTTTGTTAAAAAAAGTATTCAAATTTTTTTTTTGTACGAATAATACATACAAATAATAGTATTATTTATCTCACTAGAGAAACTTTATCTGTTATCAAGTAAGAAAAATATATATGTAGCACTTGAAGATAATGTTTAGTTGTTACTAGAACCCTGTGGAATCAAACTTTTTGACTAGCATATATACCTCTTATTATGCTACTTGTTAATGAGAATATCTCTCTCTGATGTTTGCAACTTCGAAATAATGTTTTTAATTGACTCTGATGAAATCTCGTTCCGAAGTTCGGTGCAAAGCTCAAGTTATCTCATTTAAGTAAATAAAAATAAGAAATCAAAAGAAACTTTTGAATGATATTAAATTGATATATGTATATAGAATTAATGTTCAGAAATACTTAGTTTATATGTTAAAATTCACGTCGAATAATTATTGCATTCGTTGAATTTTAAAATAGCTTAGTCTGAAAATTGATTCAATGCATATTAATGTAATATCATTCATAAAGTTTGCTTTGATTTATTATTATTATTATTATTTCAAATGACAACTAACAATTATCTTGGAACGGTAAACATGTATTTTTCGGACTTGACAATAGATCAACAATAATATTTCTTTACAATACTCGTATGAGAAAAAAAAAACAAAATTCTGAATAAACTTTCATAACTAACCAAGAAATTGATCCTATTTGAATGAATCAAAGTGAAGATCTTCCTGTTTTTTATCGTACTATTATTTATAGCTTGCTCTGTATATCTTTCAAGAGATGTCTATCGATTAATGACAATGACAATATAATAGTTTATGAGTTTATATTTTTCAATAATACTGAAATTAACTTTTCTTATGATATTTTCTAATAAAATACGAACAAACGATACGGCTACATACATATGAATTTTTATTCTCTTTTACCTTTATCATAAACGTTTTACTATTGAAAGATGCTTTCATAATGAATATATTGTGTAATTTATTCAATAAATTAATTTTTCTTTAAGTTTTTACCTTGTGTATAATAAAATTCTGGTTTTGTTTGATAATCAGGTATTATTAAATCTAATGAAAGTATTGATGAAACAAATGATACTTGATGAACTTTTTCATTTTTATCATGATTTGTTATAATTGTTGATTGTTGACAACAACGATATTTTAATTGCTGAATAAATAAATAAAAAAATTTAATAAATACAAATGATATTAATGTAAAATGTGGTAAATTTCTTAATAAAACATAGATTAAATCTGATTGAATTATATCATTTGATGATGATGATTGTAATAATAATGTTCGATCAAAAAGAAATAATGAAAAACGTGAACAATAACTTGTATATATTAATGTATATGTACCATCAATAAATGTATAAATTAATCCAAGTGCATAAGATATTGGATGTGCAATATTAACACTATTTTGAAAATTGATATTAAAAATAATTCAAAGAAAATATTTTAAACAAAACTTACCTAACTAATAATGGAAAATATCTCATACCAATAAGTAATACAATACCAATTCGTTTTAATAATTCAATTATAATACCTTCATTATCAGTTACATATTTTGTATTAAAACGAATTAAAATTTCTTCAAGAATTTTAAATACTTCATTTGCTGATATACCAAATATTGCTGCAATAACATGACGTTGTCGTTTATCAAATAAATTAAATGGCATTGGTAATGATGGTCGTCCATGACAAAATTGTAAACAAAAAGTATCACGTTTTTTTAAACATGAACATATTAATGTAACAATAAGTGCTAATGGTAATGAAACAAAATTTTGCCAAACATAATTATCAAATTTACGACAATTATGTAAATGATAATATGTTATATTTAATTTATTTGTTAATGTTATATTGGTATTATTTAATATAGATAAAAATGAAAGACGATATTGTATAAATGGAATTGTTATTAAACAAAAACTTGTTAATAAAAGTGTACTAAATATAAGAATAAATGTTGATGAATCACAAATATTTGATATTTGAATATTGTATAGTAATTGTAAGAAACTATCAAATTTTTTTTCTTGTTTCTTTTGATAAGAAATTTTATATTGGGAAAGTCCATGTTCACTAGAATAAAATAATTATAATTAATAATATGAAAAGTCATAATCGTATGATAAAGAAGAGTAGACATACAATAAAATCAAATTTTGTTTTAGAACGTTCCACATCGAACAATTTCGATTCGACAATGGCGGGAAAGTGAGACTTCAGTACTTTTTTTTTCCTTTGAATCTTGTCTTAGGATGTCTGTATTCCTTAAGGTTTTAGATTATTTATTTTATTGTATGTAGACCTATCATAGATAACTATGAAATCTTATTTTTTGCATACTTCTACTATATATTATTAATAAATTGAACAGGAATGCACTGAAGACCGAATGCGAACGGTTCGGGTTCGGTGCATGTCTAAAGAAGACTTCAAAATCGAATAAGTTCTCATAGTTGAACTTAGATAAACAATGTATCAAATAATTATTATGATTGAAGAATAATACTTGAGGGAAATCTTTTTGTTTTCGAAGCTACTTCATAGGTTTTCATGATTGTGAAGCTATATGCAAAATGTGTTATTCATTTTTTTTTTCTTATCAAACAATATAATTCATAAATTCGAAATATGTGGAATCAAAAAATTTTGATCGAGTTATAATTTTGAACTCATGAATGTTATATTTCTTTATCTTGTATATTGTTCAATTGATAAACGAAAATCAATCAATTCTTCATTATATAACTCGGAATCGATATAAGCAAATAAATTGATTGATTTTCTGACTTTTCTATTATTGTATATATACCGTTCCAAAATTACAAATCATCAACTCATATTATTGCATCACTTCACAAAGACTAAATAAAAAGAATCTTTTTTTTTTTTTTCTTCTTTCAATAAGAAAAAGAAAATATTAGTTTTTATTATATAATCTATCGACAAAATGAATTCATCAATATTTAAAGTTTATTTATATTCTAACCTGTTATTTAAAGAATGAAGTTTGCCATAGATTGTTGAAGATCGATCTAATTTTCTTTTTAACATTCTATATATTGATCGAATAATAATTGGTGTAATACATGCCGTAAATACAAATATAGCTGCTATAATAACTTGACTACCTTCACGACTAACTAAAAAATTTTTTTAGAAACAAAAAATTAATTGAATTAATTTCAAAAATTTTCATATTCTATTTTACTCGATCGACATCGATTTCCACCAAAAAGAAAATGACATTCACAACGAAATTGTCCATCATCTATATTTATACATCGACCATGTTTACCACATACATCATTTAATGAACTACATCGATCAACAACTAAAAAAAAAAAGAAAAATGATACAAAAAAATATATAATTCATTAATAAACAACAAACCTTTTTCACAAATAAAATTTAATTTTCTATCACATACATCAACATTCATACATAATCGTCCTCGACGTGCACGATCAAGAATTCCACATGATCGATGACGAGGTTCAATTGGTAATCGATCTTCACATAAATCTTCTTCTGTATAATATGTATAATCCGATAGAGCTCGACCATTGATCCATGACCATGAATCTAATATTTTATTGTTTAAAATTTCAATAACAAAAACAAAATCTAAACCTACCATTATAATAATGAAATCCAACATAAAAATCTTCTCGTAAATCAGTTATATTTTTTGCTATATAATCAAATTCATTATCACTATCAATAACAACAAGATCAGCTCGAAATCTAGCACATTCATTTCGTGCTTCAGACCATGAACGTCTTATAGGAAATTTCCAATAACAAGATGCAGCAAAATATTGCCAAGCTATTGGACATTGAGCTTAAAACAAAAAAAAACATACACACATATGAAAATTAATACTGTCCATTAATCAGAACAGTTACAATTGTTAATTGATTAGTTGACACTTGATGATTTTCTCTTATGAAAGAAATATTTCATAATCATACAAAACTAATTTATTTATTTAAACGGTTCAACTCCAATTTCAAGACATTACAAACATAATCGGATTCTACGTTTCACTTTTTTTTTTTTTTGCGTTATGAAAAATGAAAAAGTACTTGAAGAATAATATTCATTTGTTATATTATATTATGATAATGGTCTCCATTAAAATTGTTTAGTACTCTATCAAGGTACAAAAGCGTGTCTGATGATCTCTTTCGTATGTAATTGTTCAGACAAGTGTCTTTATGTATATATATGTAATATTGCATTGGCCCTCCTAATGTATATATACTAGACATAAAATATTTTGACCATCATCTCAACGTTGAATGAACGATAATTGACTTTGAAAATGCATTGTCGCGAGACGGAGGACATAAAGTGTTTGTCGCGTGCATAACTCAAGATCGACTATCTTTGTTTTTCTTTCTTTTAATATATATATACATTGAGAGACTACACTTTTAGATTAATGATCAAGATGAAAGAGAAGAAAAACGAATACACAATACAATATGAAACATATTTATAGTTGATTATTGACTTTAAAGATTTATTCAATTCACACTTACATTTTTCTTGTATTTGTTCAGTAATTTTATCTTTGGTTTTTGTTTTAAATGTTTTTAATTTATTTTTCCAATTTCCATAGAATGTATTCGATGAAATTATTGTTGTTGTTAATACCAAAAGAAGAAAAATTGTTCGTAATAACATATTTTTTATGTTATTCTATAAAATTCTATCTTAAAAGGTCAATATTAGAAATAACAAGAAAAATCAAAAAAGGGCATCATGTTATCATATATTGATAAGCAAGTGACGAAATCATATTACAGAAAAAAAATGAGTATAGAAAACAAAACTTCAAGATTAACAAAAAAACAAACAAGGAAAGGAATTCATCTACCTAACAACCAACTATCCCGTCGAGTAATGATGAGCTCATAATCATAATCGTAATTTATGACGTGCTCGATATGTCCCTCGTCTTTCCTTTCTCTCTTTTCTGTCTGTCTCGCATCTGGTTTCAGTTTTGTGATATCACCTATTTCTCTTTTCTTTCTCTTCACTTGTTGTCGGTCCACACATATCCGATTAATTAGAAAAAGTTCACTCGAGATATATATTTATATATATATGCGGTACACTTGCATAAAACAATTCGACTACTGTACAACATATATATATATTTCATTTATTCAGGTGAAAAAAAGACCTTTTAGCAAGTACCAACAATAAATAGTCTATTCATCATTAATACGCTTAATTCGAGCTATTTTGTCAAGGTAAAAGAAAAAAGTAAAAACATTCTACTCACAAGTTTCAATAAAGATATCTAATAAAAAAAGGCACTATAACATCGCAATAATGATATATCTAACACGTTTTGATGGACAGCACAAACAGTGTCTGGTCTGTAGCGGTATCCTCGAGGCTAAATGCACCTTAATTGGCTGTGCCATCAACTATACAATGTATAAATATATATATATAAAGACAGAGAGAAAGAGAGAGAGAAAGTGAAGATATTCAATTGGAGGAAGAGATTTTGGACAGAACAGAAAAAGAGTATGAGCGAATGTGTGTTAATGATAATAGAGTTTGACAACAACAACATGTTCATTCAAGTAACAATACTGATTGATCAAGAAAAAAAAACCATTTGATAGATCATTATTACTTGTCTCTTATGCTTTTAAAATGAATGTCGAATCTTTTTCATAATAAGAAACAAGAGATAACTCAAAGTGTATATATATATATGAGCAAAGAGGCCGCTCTCATTAATCTTATTCATCATTTAGTAAGAAAGATTCCAGACTCTTTGTAATACATATATATACATAAGCACTTGTTTGGTATTTGCGAGAAGATAAGAAAGAGAGAGAGAGATGCAAAGTGATTGTGTTCATTGACCATGAATGACGTTCGACGCAGGGTCAAATCTTCTAATCAAACATCGATCTAATTAAACTCTTGTCGATCTCACTTTATGACAATGATCATCTCTTGAAAAACAAGTGTCTCGACGAGAATACATATGGGTAATAAACAATTTTAAGATGATGATATCAATCAAGCTGATAAAAATCAGAACGAAATGAAAAGGCACAAATCTATTTATTCAACATTTTCCCCTTCTGGGGTACTTACTTTTCTTGTCGTTTACTAGACGGAAATCAAAGTTAGAGAAAAAAGAAAAGAAATGACTTTTTTTTCCTATTCTCTTTAATCGAGCAGCAGGTGGATTCTTTCTTTCTATGTCTCAATTATATAAATATTGAACGATAAAAGAAGATGAAGAAAAAAAAAAAAGAAAGATACTTGAACATAGTTCAATTCTATTTGATTGTAACGAAGCGTATCAAGCTGATGCATTGGCTAAGTTGCACAACTGGATTCTTCAGAAGAAGAACTACATACACCTGCTCATTCATGAATTGTACAAATACTTTCTCTTCTTTTTCTTGTGTTATCGTTGATCTGGTTTCTTTCTTTCTTTTTTTTTCTTCTTCTTCATATGAGTGAGAGGTGATGATGAGGTCCCTCGACACACGCTAAAGATAGCATTCCATTGACATTGAGCGCGAAGTGCCAGCCCCCTTTTCGACAATTGAGTCCTATTAAGATATCAGTGAACTGTACACATGATGCATTGAAGATAAGACCCATTGGACACATAACATGATTTCATGGTCAATATAAGTGTGACCAACAAATCGTTTTGTCTCTTTTTTTGTTTTCTTCTTTCTTATACACTATAATCATATTGTGATCGGCTCAATGAATCGTTTCACAATGTACGTATATGTATATTATAGGCAATTAACAACAGGCTAAAGAACAATAAAAAAATAACAAACACGGATATTTACAAGTAATTATTATCACTAAATATAATTGAACGTTGACAAATGAGATTTGATATTGTTCTTCGAAATTAATTTTCTTTTTTATTATGATTATCAAGAAAAGAAAAATTTCTGTTCATTTTCTTTCGATTTTATAATAAAGTATAAGTTAATTAGTTAATCATTTATAGTTATTTTATGAATGTGTAAATACAATTGTTTAATGACAATTAGAACTTGTCATATGTTACTATTATTATATCATTTATTGATTTAATTGAATATGAATTACATCATTTTCTCTCTATTATATAAATCATTAGTAAAAATGTTCTCTATTCACGGTCAGTTGATTTCAATCTCGGTTCATTTGTTGTCATTGAAAAAAAAAAAAAAAGTAGTTATCATAAGTTTAACAATGAGAACAAAACTTCTTCAAAATATCGGAAATGAGTAAACTTAAAAGAAGATCAGTAAAAATTTTATTGACGTTCCTCGACTTCAAGTTGAGTTATCCAGAAAATAACAGTCGTTACGAAATATCATCCTCTCGTCTTCGAAATTGGTCGTTTGATTAAGCAGAAATGAAAAATCAAAAAAATTTCAATATTTTCGATCCAAGAAAGGACGAGGTCATTTAAGACCACATATCAAACCATTCTTGCATGTTTATCAAGTTACAACTCTATAAGCATAACCAAAAATGAAGTGACAAATAAAACATACAGTCGATTTTTCTTTTCAATATACTTTGTCTTACAGATACCAATGTAGAATCGAATACTTTATCGGACAGAACCAGTTTGAGATTAATATATCCTTGTCATTTAAAGTAATCAGGAAGATTTCTCGTAATTTCGATGCTAATTCCAAATATGTGAATACTTATGAGCAAAAACAATGAAAAACTCTTAATGGTAGTAAACAAGTGCAAAATTCGGATACTAATGAAATTGCGTAGCATAGAGTTTCTAGAAAACAGATACAAATATTAAATCAATCTGCACTCAAAATGGATATGTTGTCGTAGAGCTTGGTGAATTCTATTCGGAGACATCTTGTTTTTTATTGTAAAAATTAATAACATCAGCGAACAAATTATCCAATACACAAGTTCCGTTACGAAATTTCATCAAAACTAAAGATGGTTTTTAGAACGCATTATTTTGATTTGTAGACATTTAACATTTGTATGAAGGTCAAATAGTGAAAGAGTACTTTGTGTTTAATCGATTAATAAATAATAATTGAAGAATATTGTTTTTAGTGATCGATCATTGTTTGATGGTGTATTTCACTAACATCTTTTACACGTATTTTCGAGTTGTCTATTTTAAATTTTTCTTCAGAACTTAATTGAATTTCTATGAAATCGGTTTCAAAAGGAAATTTGTTGAAGTCTAAACTTGCTGAAGACGTTCACAAAAGATACGGCTCTTGTTGTACAGTGTGTCCTAAAGTTTTCAGATTTTTGTTCTTATATAATTAGAGAAATATTTTTTTTGTTTGTTATTAATAAATAGTCAGATGACAGAGCCAATCGTTTTTATTTACCTATGCTAAAAGAACTCCTTCAGAAAAATAATCTTTGTAAAGAATCAAAGTCAAATAAAAGGTGGCTATATCCTGTTTTGCCTCAAATGATTGATACATAAAAGAAAATATTTTCAGTTATATCAAATATGTATCAAAATCTTTGCAATATCATGACAGATAAGAGAGACAAAGTGATTGATTGCAATTGGTAGCAACCATCGGAAGATAAAAAAAGGAAAGATATATATTATGTATTTATAAACCTTGACATATTAGAAGTTTAAAAAAGATTCTGATCATCGATACAATACCTTTATTGATTATAGTATAACTTCGAGACTGAAAAAAGTGTTTTTAAAAATATCTTCTTCGTTTCTTTAATCATATTAAGCAAAGTAAAAGAAATACAAGATATTACTCTCTTAGAGAAGAAAAGTACGACTTCTTAAATCGTTCTACTCTCACTCTTATTTCAATGATCACTGGATTGATCGAATTACTCCGTATGAAGTGTGATGCATCTGTTCGTGCTATCCATACTATGCGTATACCAACAAGACCAATACTCTATTTTTGAATGGTCACCAAAAGTAAAGTCAGTCTTTTTTCGAAAGAGCGATTTTTGAAACTCAGAAAAAAAGCGAACATCTATTTTTGAGAGTGCAAACAGATACTATGTAGTATCTTCAAACAAGAAATCTAACTATTTTTTTTTTTACACATTGCTATAAGTATTATGGTAGTGCATTTCACTAACACAATATGAATGTATGAAAGTTTAATTTGGAAATGAAAATGTAAATTTCAAATATTCTCTTTAGTTATGTTATACCATTAGATATTGTGTAATATGAAAAACTCCTACTAAAAAATAATTTCTCTTCTAAAATCAAACTTTGAATTTTTTCTAAACACAAATAGACCTAACTAACTATNAGGGATGATCTGGTCAAAAATTACAATTTTTTTTATAACTCAGTCATTTCTCGACGGATCCTTCTCATCTTCGAACTCGACCGAGATATTGTAAAGACTGAACTGTGCAAAAAATTTCATCGCGATCTGACTCTCCTTTCGAAAGTTATCGTGTAAACGGCCGGACGGCCGGCCGGACATACTGACCGATTCTAGAGTGTACTCACTTTTTGAGTACACAAAAAGAAGAGAGTTCGCCGTATTCTTTACGACTTTCTCGAAAAAAAACGAAACTTTAAAGTATCACGTAAAACGAAATATGGCGTTTTTTAATCGATTTTTTTTGTGATACTTTACACTTTTCAAGGAAAGATCATACAAAGTACGGCGACTCCTTATTTTGTTCTTCTTAAAAAAATAGTTTCTTGTATCTGAAAACTACCAAGTTTGTTTTATTTTAGAAATCTTAATATAGAACAAATTACTATCTAGATTCGAACTAGGCACTTAACACTATAACAGAAAAACAATACGTTGTTGTAAAAAACATTTTTTTCCTACTGAAATATTTAGAGTGTTTCAATGATTACGAGAGCTACGTTTGAGTAAAATGATCATAAATTTCGAACGAAATTTTCATAGGATTTTTCTTGAAATAATGTCCGCAGCATAAAAACACAAAAAAATATTATCGAATATCTCATGGATCAGTTAGTGTCCTTTCCTTCTTACCCTCAGCTGTGTTGTCTATTTCCAGCCTAGTTTCTTCTATTTGATGAGAATGACATTTATAGAACAATTTTGGACACTGCTGACAGTCAACAACAAAAAACTTCAGTTCTTATCTTTCTATATTGTATATGACACTATTGAATGTGTCAAAATATTATTAATAGAAGAATGAAAAACTTGATTTAAAAATATTTTCATTTGAAATTTCTTACCATTTGCAAGTATTTCTAATGTTATTATCTCAGCATCAGTTCCTCCATGCATAATTTTATATTCTCCTGATGGAATTTTAAATAACCATAATTGTGAATCATTTGTTCCAACAAAAAGAACATGTGCTGATGGATGAAAACGCATTAATTCAATATCATTTCCTGTATGAAATGTCCAAACTTCATTTATAGGTAAACCATTTTGATTATTTGTCCAACAACGTATTTGTCCATGCATATCACATGCACATAAATATTTTCCATCAAAACTCCAACAAATTTGATGTACACTATCATCAAATGATGGATATTCATGTATTAATTCACCGGTTTCTAAATGCCAAAGTAGACAACGATCATCTTCACCACCTGTACAAACACGATTTTGTATTTGTGGATCAATTGAAATTGTAAATATGGAATTTCCATATTTATGATGACATATTGTTAATAATGAATCATCATCTTCTTCCATAGTTTCAGTTAATTCAAGATCATCTAATTGATTTTCAACAACATTTTCTGTTGATGGATCAACATCAATTACTTCAAATGCATCATTGGCATCAATATGAATATCATCATCATCATCAGAATCTGAATGTGCATGACGTTCAGGAGAATTTTTATTCAACATATTTGTTTTCTAGAATGTAAAAGAAAATTACTTGATCAATCAACAATATAATAATGATGATGATGATGCATATGGAGAAAATTATATGATTGGTGTTTTGATTTTGACTAATAGAAAAATATCGACTAGAGTTCGTTTATAATGGCTATAATAGAGAATCGACATGAAAAAATAATATCAATCTTAATTTTTAGAGATAGAAATTCGAATAATATTTTATTGAAAAAAAAAAAATTTATTTAATTATAGTCTTTTCTATTTGTTTTTCTAATAGAATTATTGGTTAATAAAGCGATAAAGATTCGAACCCATCAATTGTATGTGGGTGTGTTTACGTATTTCGACATGTTTTCTATGTTTACGATAGAAAATTCCGGAAAAAATATGATTATTAAATAAAAGCAAGAATTAAAAAGAAAAGTTCTGCGTAAGTTAGTTGTTTAATTGATAATCTTTTACTTATTCTTATGTAAATAAAAGATATTGTAACTATGTTGCACTATAGCACATCCTAATAGTTTTGTAATTAAATAACTCAAAAATAATAAAAGAAGTTACTATGTAATTGATTGTTATTTATTTATAATGTTATGATACATACTTAAGACATTTCATAAGATAACAATTGTTAAGAATATTATCCATATGCGTTCGTTATATTTTTGTCTTTGTACATATACATGTTGATAGCTATAGCCAACCCTTCTTTTCTTTTTATCTGTCAGGTATTTTGCTCTAGTTTTCCTCTTGATCTCTATTTTGAGTGGTTTTTCTTGCTTTTTATATAACAGTCTATGCATATTCTGATTAGATTGTGTTAGCTGTTCGTAGATTTCATCTAACATGTGATATAAATATCTGTTNTACATATTCTGTATGAATGTTGTCTTTCATCGGTATCATTATTTATCTTAGTCATGCTATTCTTATTTCTGGTTCACCACCAATAGTTCTATGGCATGGAATGGGTGATCTTTGTTGTAATCCATTAAGTCTTGGTACAATAATTAAATTACTACAACGTCAATTACCTGGTCCATATATTCTATCATTACGTATTGGATCAAATATTGTTGAAGATACATCAAATGGATTTTTTATGAATGTTAATCATCAAATTGATTATGTTTGTAAATTATTAAATGCGGATGAAAATCTTTCACAAGGTTATCATGCTATTGGGTAAATAATAAAAAATAAATAATTTTGTTTTTGTTTTTGTCTTATGAAATTTTTATGTTCGTTTAAAGTTTTTCTCAAGGTGGACAATTTTTACGTGCCATAGCACAACGTTGTCCTAATCCACCTATGCTTAATTTAATATCAATAGGTGGTCAACATCAAGGTGTTTTCGGATTTCCTCGATGTCCAGGTGATAATGAAACAATTTGTAATTATATTCGTGATTTATTACATTTTGGTGCTTATGAATCATTTGTTCAAAATCATCTTGTTCAAGCAGAATATTGGCATGATCGTATATATATATATATATAAATCATTTGAATATTATTCATACTTTTTTTTTTCTAGCTCATAAAGAAGGTACTTATCGTAAAGCAAGTATTTTCTTAGCTGATATTAATCAAGAACGAATATTTAATGAATCATATAAAACAAATTTATTAAAAATTCGTAATTTAATTCTGGTGAAATTTTTACGTGATACAATGGTGACACCACATGAAAGTGAACATTTTGGTTTTTATGAAGAAAATGATACATCGAAAATAATACCATTACGCGAAAGTTCATTATATTTAAATGATTTATTAGGTTTAAAAATAATGGATGAACAATCACGTATTAAATTTCTTGAATCAGATACTGATCATTTACAATTTACTGATCAATGGTTTATTGACAATATAATTCCATATCTTCAAGATTAAAACGATCTACTGTTTGTTTGTTTTTATTTGTTAATAAAAATTTTTAAATACGAGATAACATATAGCCTGAAAATATTAAATAAGAATAAGCATCAGGTTGTGAATCGAAATTTTCATTTAAAAGATTTAAAGCTAGAACAGATATTTGATCATTAACTTGACAATTTAAAAGACAATCTATTAAACCATTAGAAAAACCCGAAACAAGGGTTTTATTATGACTTATAACTATTGATTCTAACCAAATTGTACACATATGTTGACTATTTTTTGTGATATAAAAAGATGCCTTTAAATAAAACAAAGAAAAAAAAAAAAGAATTTCAATTAGTAATTCATAAATTAAAATAAAAATCGTTTCTCGAAACCTTAATTCTAGAAACGAAAATAGTAAGAAAAAATTGATAAAGACCCTTTGTAGGTACAGTAAATATGCCAGTATGTTCCGAAAAATAATTTGAAACAGTTGGAACATTAAATGAATCAGATAATATCCATGGTCGAAGTATCCTATTGAAATTTCTTGCAATATCAAAATGTTGTAATTCAGCACAAAATGAAATTGATCGTTCAGCAAAACCATCTCGACCTAAGAATAGAATCTTCTTTATTTTTCTTAGGAATGCACCATTAATTGGCTTGGTGCGTCTTACCAAAATATTTACAATCAAAAAATAACCTACAGTTAACTAATCATTAGTATACTGCTTTCTAGAGAAATGTTTGTTTTTTTATTCATTGTATTTGAAAGATAGTTTGCGGCGCATTAAACTTAATTTATGGGCCTCTTAAGGGTATTTCTCTCTTTTCGACCACTTCTGCTTCTCCACAACAGTGCAACCGATTGGTCTCAAATTTTTACCCTAGTTAGATCTTCAAAGGTTTTTTTAAAGAATCGTGAAAAATCCTTGAAGGCTGGTTTTAAAACTTTTTACTCGAATATGATTCCTATTATTTCCGATAATCTAGCTGTGGTAAAGATGTGAGTTTGATCGGTTGTACTTTTGGTGAGAATCAGAAATAAACCAAAAGAGAGTTCGAATGTTAAAATCGAAATATTTTCAATTTTTGGTTTTTTATCACAAATAGAGATTGTGTCAAATTACTTTTTCGATAATCACAATTATGACAATGTATTCAGAGGAGAAAGCAATTCCAATTGATTCTTCCTTTCAAACTATGATAAATAGTTTTATCTGTTAACAGAAGATGTTATTCTTACCCGGAGGACCTGTTAAACCTGGTGGACCTATATGGCCAGGTAAACCTAAAATAATGAATAAATTCCTACAAAAAAGAATTTTCATTCTTTTCATTACCTGTAACTCCTTGTGGACCATGTAGACCTGGTAGACCTTGAACAATGATCGATAGATTAGTTGATTTTTCTAAGTACAAAAGATAAATCTATTATCATCAATCTTAGATTTCTTTCAAAATTTATTTTACCACCACATTTCAATTCTGTAAAACATCCACGTAAACCTTTGTCTGTATTTATTTTACATAAAACTTCAGAACATATAAGAATTAAAAAAATGAATAATACATTCCATGCCATAAGATCAAGAAAAACTTCTTTTTTTCTATTTGTAATACTTTTTTTGTCTGCCACAAACTCAAAATAAAAGACATTCTGTTAGGTCCGTACAAAAAAACTCGGAAATTACCGAGTCACAAAATTAATTGTAATATTGTTCCTAGTGAAATCTTCTCGTTCTTTCTTTTTTATCGTTTGACATGCAGACAAAAAGAAGTCTTAATAGAAAAAAGCAGTTATTTTGATGTTGCGTAAAGAAGAAAAAAAAAAGGAAGAAGAAGAGAAAAAAACTGTTCGTTCATCAATCGTCATTATCATCGCCTGATTGATTATGTCTTTGATTTCGTCCATTATCTATATATATACATAAATACATATATATATATATATAAAATCTCGATATAATTCAAATAGAATAAACAAACCTGAACCTTCATCATCATTGTGTGGAAAAAGACCATTAACATATTTTTCAGTAGGATCAGAACCATTAGTTTTATCATTTGCTGGTTGTTGAGATCGAGTTTTGACAACTTGAATTTTTGCATATACAAGAGCCTTGAGAAAATAAATCTTATTTATTCATTTATATTTATTATAAAAGAATTTACTCGTTCTCTTTTTGATAATTTTTCTGGATCATTTTGTTCACCATTACTTAAATGCCAAGGTTTTTTCGGTTGTGTATCTCGTGGTGATTTATTTTGTCCTCCGAATGTATCTCCAATTTGTTTTTCTACTTGCGATGAATATTCTTGACGTTTTCTAGCACGTTCTTTCTATTTTTAAAATAAGAAATCAATTTATAAATATTACATGTACTTAGGGTATACCAAAAGTTCTGACCACGACGTTTAAAGGACCTTTTTGGATAATGTGGCCGATTCAAAAAATGAGAAATCAAATATACCATGTTGTAGAGCTTTTCAAGGCACATCGA